TCACACTCGCTCCCCTCTCAGGGCTCCCCCTCCCCCACTCTCAGTCGCTCCCCCCACCCCCTCCCCATTCCACGCCATCATCCCCCTCACCAATCCGCCCCCCGAGGTTCCTGTGGGCCTCCAGGGCTGTGGTTCTGGGACCTGGCCCTCGAAGCTGCCCCCAGCGGCTGCTGCTGCCGCCTACTATGCCGCTGCCAGCCGGGGTTTCCCGGCTGCCAGCCCAGGGGCAGGAGCCCACTTCCGGGGCACACCCTGCTCTGGGCCCCTGTCACCTCCTCACGTGGTGGCGCTCTAAGCGCATGGCGCCTGGGGCCTGGCGGGAGAAGAGCCCCCCCGTGGGGGAGGGGCGGCCTGGCCCGGAGAAGACCCCCCCCACCCCGGTGAATTGGAGGCGCCCCACTTAACTTTGTAAAAGCCTGAAGGGGTGTAGCCATAGGGGCCTCGGCTGGAAATCAACCCTGTCCGCAGGGAGCTACCATTCCACCTGCAAAGAAGCAGGGAAGCAAGAAAAGGACTTGATGGATCATGGGACTAGGGCAGGCAGGGAAACCAGGCCATTTCGCAGATAAGGAAACTGAGGCCTGAGAAGAAGGGTCTGGCATCCCACTGGCCTGGACCTTAAGGGCGTCTCTCCCGGAGGCCACACCTTGAAGGGCACCTGGGGCGTCATTCTGGATGGCCTCACCCCCCCCCCCCAGGCGCCCAGGCAGTGGCCACCTCCCACCTGAACTAGGGCTCTGGCCTCATCCTCGGTGTCCAAACCTCCACACAGCCCCCAAAATAGCCTCCGTGCCATTCCCACCCCCCATCCCCAGAGGCCCACCTGGCTCCTTGGTACCCAGTGGACCATCTTCACCAGCCTGGCTGCTCTCTGGCCTTTCTGTGTCCCTGCTCAAAAGTATTCCAGGACATTTGTGGGGCAGCAGCCACTGCACCCCACAAATACCGAAGTGGACAATGATCTGGCAGAAGGAGCCAAGCATGAGCTGTTTCAGTTGTCATGAGGTTTGGCCGGTAACCACACTGATTTTTTCCCCTCTTTTTTGATGTCCATGACCATTAGTGCTGAACCATAGAGCAAATTAAACAGGTCACTTGGTAGGTGAGAAAACAGAAGTCACAGAGACAGGCTAGACCTTGGAGAGAACCCTGGCCGTTTTCTATCCACCCCAACACTGAGATTTCCTCTAAATTTGCTTCCTTTGGCCAGGAAAATTCTCCTCTAGGCTGTCCCTGCACAAAGCTTTTCCTTCTCTTTCCTCTTTCCTATATCAAAACCTGCTTTCCCTAACTGCAGATACTGATTCATTCTAAAGTGTCAACAGCTGATGGGGTTGGCTGATTATTTCACCATCCAACACAATTCAACAAATGCCTAATAGATACATTCTTTATTGTTTGCATTTTCCTCGTCCAATCTGTAATTATGCAGTATTTCTCTCTTCAATAAAAGAATTTAATGGGAAAAAAAAACAAAAACAAATGCCTAACATCTATTTGGCACTGAACATAGCAAGTTTCCTATAAGTCAGAGCCCCCACCCTCTATAAAACACAAAGGTAGCTGTTCAGCACTGAGAATGAGCTAGTAAAAACTTGTGGATTGATTGACTGTTGGGGAGCTCCCTTGGGGAAGGTGTTTCAGAACTCAGGACAAGTGTGTCACCCGGTCAGTCCATGGCCAAATTGGAGCCGAGCACTGCTAAGCTCTGGGGATTCAAAGAAAGGTGAGTGGGATACCCCGTGAAGACTTCTCAGTGTAATTAAGGTTTGGGATAAGATTATCCTGAACTTGGAGATAAGTTCAGGAGACAGTATAGGATAAGTATAGATTTCTATAGTTCCCCTAGTGTTAGGTTAGTAGTTAAAGATTGCCAAGCCTGAAACTTTGAAATCCCCCCTGTACCCCCACATTCGGTCATGGTGACCTACCCACAGCAGTGGCAAGAGACTGTAAATAACCAGGTTCGTACAAAACAGAGAGTAGATGGAAGGCAGCCTTAGAGGGGAAGGGACTAGCTGTGGAGGGAGGGTGGAGATCAGGAAAGCAGACAAGGAAAGGTAGATGTAAGGACTGCGCTGAGTGTTGAAGGAAGCCAGGAATAGATAGTCTCAAGTCCAGCTCTGACCGTGATACTCCTCTTTAAACTCATTACCTCTAGGATCAAATCTAGAAACCCCCTGTTTAGCTCTTAAAACCCTGACCCACCTCGCCTGGCCTCTCTTTCCAGCCTCCCTGGACAACATTAGTCCTTACCCCGTGAGATGGCTTCCCATTTACACTGTGTATTTTTGTACATATGGGTTATTTGCATAGAACATAAGAGCAGGGACCATGTTTTTCCCTGTCTTCATATCCCCAGACATAGCCTGGCACATAGTAGGCTCTTAGTGCATGCTTGTTGATTGACTAAAAAGGATGAGGGCTGAAAAAAGACCGGCAGATTCTACAATTATGAGATCTCAGATGACTTTGGAGAGAGGAATGGGTGAGATAAAAGAAAGAAGAGGGAGAAAGTGAAGACTCAGTTTCTCTAGGAATTTGGTTGAGAAAGAGAAAAGAGAACAATGGCTTGAGGAAAGGGTGGACACAGTGAAACGAAGGCTTCTAAAGGGCAGAGAGACTTGGGCAGAGACGAAGAGAGGGAGGAGGGGACAGCTGTTAAAATTGATTATATGAAATAAAAAGGAAACTGAAGACCACATTACTGAACCATGTATGATTTAATATGTAATCAAATCAGTTCGCCTGACTCCTCACAGCTCAGAGACAAGCAATGATTTATACAGATGGTTTTTATAACAAAAAAAGAGGACCTGGAAAAATGACAGAGACTTGTTTTGAACATAATTCTATTGGAGAAGGCAGGTCACCTGACTAGTTAGCTTCTCCCAGACTTTCTTAATCCTCTGCCAGAGTCCTTACCTGCAAGTGTTACCTTCTGTAACCAGAAAGTGGCCTGGGAGAAAGGAACTTGTGGTCAGTGGTTAGCAATCACCCACCCCCTGCCCAAATCTCCCTTAGCAGGGTCATGACTTGACTTAGATTCTAGCTCAAGAAAAAAGGACGCTTATACACTAAGACTAGAACAAAATAGCAACCTCTAGCTGAACTTTCTCCAGCTGCCAGAAAGGGAAACTTAGCTTCTGGTCAATCACCCTTTCTGCTAGAAAGGGGGACTTAGCCTTTTGAAAAACCTTATGATCTTATGATTATTTTATTCTTCTAAATTATCTGCTACTAAATGATAAAGTCTTCTCAATCTGTCTATTCACTGAATCTATAGGTAACCTAGATTTAAAGAGCTATCTCTGTTACTCTGGCTTAGCTCTTCCTAAAAAGGGATTTAATTCTATAATCAAACTAAAAATAAATCAAAATAGTAAATAGTAGCTGATTTTCTCATCACAGTACAGAGGGAAGAAAGAGGTTGATGATTCAAGAGAGGGATGGGGGATGATTGAGGTGGCAATCTGCTGGAGAAAATGGGAGATGGAATCTAGGACATGTGCAGGGAAGGGTTGGCCTTAATGAGGAGAAGGGTCACCCCTTTGTGGGGTAAAGGAGCAGGGAGTGAGAGATACTATCCAGGTGGTCTGAGATGAAAAGAAAGGGAAAAGACAGAGCTCATATTAAATGGTCTTAATTTTTTCAGTCACATAAGAGACCAGCTGAGAGGGGAAAGTGGGAAGTATGGAAGACTTGAGGAGGTTTGAAAAAAACGTTTGTGGAAAGTGAGATAGGGAATCAATTATGGAGAAATAAAACTGGACGGCTTTGCTACAATGGGGACCTGGTTGGGGTTGGATTACATGCATTTAAAATGTACCAAATCTATTTGGAAAAATAGGTGAAGAGGGAATCCTACCAATTCCTTTTATGACACAAATAGGGTGCTGATAACTAAACCGGGAAGAGCAAAAACAGAGAAAGAAAACTATACTCCAATTTCCCTAATGAACATTGATGCAAAAATTTTAAATAAAATACTAGCAAGGAGATTATAGCAATATATCACAAAGATCATATGCTATGACCAGTTGGGATTTATATCAGGAATGCAGGGCTGGTTCGATATTGGGAAAACTATCAGCAGAATTGACCATATCAATAACAAAACCGACGAAAATCATATGATTATCTCAATAGATGCAGAAAACGCTTTTAACAAAATACAACACTCATTCCTATTAAAAGCACTAGAAAGCATAGGAATAAATGGAGCTTTTCTTAAAATGCTACAAAAATGTTGGAAAGACTGTGAGGAAACAGGTGCACT